AGAATGGATAGGTTTGTTCTCCTTGCAGTCCAGGGGACTCTCAAGAGTCTCCTCCAGCACCACAATTCAAAAGCATCAATTCTTTGGCGGTCAGCCTTCTTTCTGCAAGTAGGGGGTGAAAAAGCCAGCCATTTTAGCTGGGATTTGGCCATTTGGGGACCCTATTTTTGGGGGAGTTTATTTCCCATGAGAAATAGACTCAAACCCCAAGATTCCCTGAGTTAAAGGACAGAGGACTGGGAGAAGCTGAGAATCTGCAGAGCTGTTTCACCTTAGAATAGACAATGCTGGGTGAACTACGGTAGCTTGGAACTAGGGAAGCAGCAGATGAGTACCATTTCACCAAAAATACACTTACAGTGGTGCCTCGCTTGACGACGTTAATTCTTTCCAGCAAAATCGCTGTAGATTGAAAAAGTCATAAAGCGAAATAAAAAAGTCAATTGAAATGTATTGAAAACCATTCAATGGGTTCCAATGGGTGAAATACCTGCTCGTCCAGCGAAGATCCTCCACAGGGTGGCCATTTTTGGGTGCCTGTAAAGCGAAGAATCCGTCCCTAACACAGCGGGGAGCCATTTTGCACATATCATTTTTGAGATTATATCCCATTACAGCTTTTCCCTCTCTTTTGTTGACTATGAGGGCTACTCCATTCCTTCTACGGGCTTCTTGCCCACAATAGTAGATATGATAATCATCTGAGTTGAATTCATCAGTTCCTGTCCATTTTAGTTCACTGATGCCCAGGATGTTGATGTTTAATCTTGCCATCTCCTGTTTGACCACCTCCAGCTTCCCAAGGTTCATAGATCTTACATTCCATGTTCCTATGCAGTATTTTTCTTTGCAGCACTGGACTTTCCTTTCACTTCCAGGCATGTCCACAGCTGAGTGTCCTTTCGGCTTTGGCCCAACCACTTCATTAGCTCTGGAGCTACTTGTACTTGTCCTCCACTCTTCCTCAGTAACATGTTGGATGCCTTCCGACCTGAGGGGCCCATCTTCCAGCATCATATCTTTTAGCCTTTTGTTTCTGATCATGGGGCGTTCTTGGCAAAGATACTGGAGTGGCATTGCCATTTCCTACTCCAGGTGGATTGCGTTTAGTCGGAACTCTCCACTATGACCTGTCCATCTTGGGTGGCAATCCATGAAGGGGAATTCATGGAGGAGTTCTCACCAAATACCCACTGATTGAATGAGAGTACTCTAGTTGTGACTTACTAAAGGATTTCAGCCACTATAGGGCAGGGAGGAGAAAACGGAGGAGTTCTCACCAAATATCCACTGATTGAATGAGTGTACTCTAATTGTGACTTACTAAAGGATTTCAGCCACTATAGGGCAGGGAGGAGAAATCTGTGGCTTCCCAGATGTTGTTAGAATCTAATTCCCATCAATTTCAGCTAGCCTCATCAATGATGAAGATTACACAAATGCAGGACTGAGTGATACCTTTTACTGAACTGATAAAAATCAAACACATTGCAAAGTTTTGTGGAGAAAATTCCACTTCTTCAGGCTCTTTATATAGAAAACTCTGAAAAGGGTTGCCATAAGCTAGAATTGACTTGATGACACATAATTATTATTAATTTAATATGAATATTTCCCTGTAAACTTGAGGAACTGGGTTTAAATAACCTACTGTATTATTATTACCATCTCCAAATCATGGGCTAAGTCACAGGAAACCAGAATGCAGGTGAATATTTGGGGAGGAAACCCAAACAGTTAGAGCAATATAACAATGAAACCAATTACCTCAGTAATTCTGAGACTTCCCAACACTGGAAGCATTCCAAGACAGCTAGACAGCTTTCCGTCTGATTAACTTGGATTCCTGAATGGAGCAGGGGTTGGCCTTGATGGCTTTACAGGCCTCTTGCAACTCTATTAGGTTATGATTCTATGAATATAGATGTTTAAAATTAAACACAATTGTATGGTAAGATCAATAATACATTTGAACCATATGGTACACTAGTACTGTAGATTTTAAAAAATGTTGCAATTGCATCTATAAACTTGCAGTCAGATCAATTGTTACATTTTATTCACCGTTGTTACTTGCTGTCAAGTTGTCTGCGATTTGTGGAACCTATGAATGAGTGATCTCCAAAATATCTATTAATATTTATACAGTATTTTATATGGATACTAGCTATACAGTCTTCATAGCTGTTGTTCAATCTGTTTTTCATTATCTCCTCACCTCCCCATTTACGGTGCCATTTTTTTTCTGAAAGAAAAGCGTTCAGTCCTGCAAACCATAAAATGAATGGCTCTCTCTATGCCTATCCTCACTCCTTTTTCTCTTAGGATTACAACCAGAGAGCCAGGAAAATGCAACAGACAAACAGGGTCATCCTTCTTGAATTTATAGTAAACAAATGTATTTAAAAAAAGGGGGGGAAGAGGATTAGTGATTGTTAATTAATCCACTGCTTCAGCATTTATTGTCTAGACCAGTTATTCTCATCTTTTTTTTGCCATGGCCATAAACACAATATAAAAGAAATATAGATTGAATTAGGATTGTATAAATCATATCAGAAATCTTATAAGGTGGCATATGAAAAAGTTTTTCCAGTCGTTGTGCCCTTCCAATGTGCCAGGATCCCACAGGGGGCTATATGGTCCCCATTGAGAATGGCTGGTCTAGACTAAAATGCTAGATTGATGGCAACAGTTTTATTTCTTAGGAAGCAGTTGGGCAGCATGTTGATTGTTAAGCAATTCCACTTCTAGTTCCACACAGGTAAAAGGGCTGGAGGTGTCCTTTTAAATGAAAAATACATACAAATCCTTGAGAAAATCACGTGCCCTTGTGGCTGCACCCCCAACAGACAAGGCTATCTCTTGCTATGAGTGATGTGAGTCACACTGGTGACTTGGAGTCGACTTGGTTTTTTTTTCAATGACTGGGACTCAACTCCTGACTTGGAACCCATCAACCCCTCCCTTTATGTAGGGACAAAAACTTGTTTTTAATAGCGATTTGGGCTTGGTACCAAAGACTTAACACCCCGGTATGTAATCTCCGGTCTCAGAGGCATTATATCTGTCAATATAAAATTTTTAGGGAACAAGAGTGGGAAGGCATTTCTGTACTTGTGAGCTTTATGATGGAGAAAGTCTGGGAAAGCTACTTTTTTGGATCACATCTCCCAGTCAGCATAGCCAGTAAGCAGGATGGCTTGAGGTTTTCTGGACGAGTTATCCAAGAATGCAATTTCTATAAATTCTGAGGAAAGGGGCTGTAGTGAATTTCTGCATGTCATGCATGATTTAGATCTTTGTTTCGGTTTCAGATTTCAGCATCAGTATAAAACAGAAAGTTAAGCGGAAAAAGAGGCCCAGGTCCTGATGTTTTTCCGAACCCGTGTCGCTTGTTTTGTAACTCTTGCGTAGAGTTGACTCGGGGAGGAAAGGGACTGTTTTTAAAAGACAGAGCAGGGGAATGTCCACGGTGAACATCACATACCCCTCTCTGGCCTTTCCGCATGTTATGAGGCGTTTAAAGGTACAAACACCGAGCTGTATAACTGATGCTGGGAAAACGAACGAATGAAGAGCATCTCTTTCTGTAGCGCAGGGCCATAATTATTTCGAACCACTTTCAGGAAAAGCTGTGATTTGATCCCTGCCCATTCGCTGGGCGATACCTTTTCCCCCTTGGTTCCTGTGCTTCTCGCCCCGCACATGGAAGACGCCGGTAAGTGGCGGCGTCTTCCATGTGCGGGGCGAGAAGCACAAGAAGCGTTCGTTCGAGGCACCGGAAGTGTGGCTAGAAAGCTCTCGAGGCTGCGGCGCCCTTGTTTGGCTTCTTTGACGTGCTCACCTCGGAAGGGGAAAGGGGGGCTGCTCGGTTTGTTTCCGGTGGCGGTTGTTTGGGGAGGAAAGAGGAGGCTGAGAGATTATTTTTTTTTCCTGGAGTTTGGCTCCGTGGCAGCACCTGAGGCCTCCTCCTCCTCCTCCTCTTTCCTATGGTCGCTCTGCCCTCCGTGCTGCTGCTGCTGCTGCCGCCGCCATCATGATGCCCGTCTTCAAGAGCAGCCGGCGCGATTTCACGTTCGGGCCGTGGAAGCTGACGGCCGCCCGGACGCACATCATCAAGTCGGCCGAGGCCGAGAGGTACGCGGGAGCCGGGCGGATGGGAAGGTTCGTGGGGTGGGTGGAGGGGGGGGAAGGCCGTGAGCGAAAGGGAGGAGTTGGCACACCCGCCCGAAGCCCCGGGGACGGCGGGGACCGAAGAAGCAACCCCCAGGCGACGCTGTGGGCCTCTCTTTTTATTTAACGGCCGGGCCGTCGATGGCAGGGGTGGTTCTGGACTCGGTTCTGCTTTGTATTACAGGTGGGGAGTAAAGGTTAAGAGTACACCAAGCCTGTTATGGCCTTGAGGTAGACTTCTCGGCTGCCGGGACCAGAGAGATGTGCCACATTGGTGGGGGCGGGCAGGGATGATTGGGAATGACCGGCAACCTTGGTCTCAACAGCAGTGAGAATGTAACGGGGCTACATTTTCCAAAGCTGTAACTATTGGGCGAGACATCCCCATCCCCAGACGTGAAATCTGAAATGGATGATGCGATTAGGTGGCTGGAAAGATGTGCGCTTGATCGCACTGGAAAGGGTCACTGTATCAGGAACAACCTTCCTTAAAGCCACCCTCCTGTCTGCCATGGATGGTTCCAGCCCGCCTGCCCCCCAAAAGTAGAAGCCCTACAGTTGGACCCAAAAGGGCCAGCTTGGGAATGGTTCAGGTTGGGCTGGAGTGTCCTGTGATCGTTGGGATACAAATTGCATTGTACTGCTCCAGAAGTGGTCCAGGTTGTGATCTGTTTCCCTGTGTGATCATATCTCTACACTTCTGACCTGATTATCCAGCCCAAAGATCTCCTGTACGTAGAATTAGTGCAAGGAAATTACCTCAGAGGGGAACCACAGCTGTGATACAAGGATATCTTCAAGCAGGATCTGAAAGCCTTAGGAATTGACCTCAACAGATGGGATACCCTGACGTCTGAGCGTTCAGCCTGGAGGCAGGCAGTGCAGCATGGCCTCTCCCAATTTGAAGAGACTCTTGTCCAGCAGGCCGAGGCAAAAAAGACAGTTCCGAAACCAGCAAAATCAGGGAGCTGGACAGGGACAGATTATATTTGTCCTCAGCGTTGAAGGGACTGTCACTTTCGAATTGGCCTTCTCAGCCACACTAGACATTGTTCCAAGGCCTCTATTCAGAGCACATTACTATAGTCTCTTGAGACTGAAAGACGCCTACTACTATTTTGAATTAAGACTTAAACAAGGAGGCTTGGTCTGCACATCTGACCATGACTTTTGGAACCTGTATCACTGGTGGCTCTGTTATGAGCAGCTTGATGCTGGGTTGAAAGCTAGTTTGTGATTTTCTCTTGATCAAATACAGTGGGGTCTCGACCTACGGAATTAATCCGTATTGGAACGGAGTCTGTAGGTCGAAAAGTATGTAGGTCGAAAATGCATTCCCCATAGGAATGCATTGAAAACCTATTAATCCGTATCTGGCCCACCCACCCCCCCA